AAATACAATACAGTACACAATACAAACAAAAAGGGAAACAAAATTTCGTTGGTTTTCTCAACACTAAATTTCGTTGAGTTGAACAATCAGTTTTCTGAGTGCTTGCCCCCCCCCTTTCTCTTCTCCTTGAGATAATCGTTAACGCATAGCGAGGATAATGACCACAATAGTATCAGATTCTGTCAGTTTTATTAAAACAAAAAAAACTGTGTTCCACTCTCAACACTTCAAAATACAATACAGTACACAATACAAACAAAAAGGGAAGTAGAATTATACTGCCTGAAAGGCAACTTTCAGGAAACCACTTCAAAAACAAAAAAAGGCAACAAAAAACCATAACAAATATAAGCTACAAAGGCTGACAGTTCGACAAATCCCCTGTCTCTGCAATTACAACATCAGAAGCATCAACAGCATCAACAGCCAGCAGCCAGGGATCATCAATGTTGATGTTTGCTAGTGCTGCGTCAGACTCCTTCTTCGCCCTTTTCTGGATCTGCCGGGTGCTGACAATACTTTTCCTGTTCTCACCTGGAATTGTCACATCGAACTAACATTAAAACAATAATTTATCTGCCGACCGGTGCGTGCTGCGATAAGGTTAGTGTACAGCAAATCAATTAAGACTATATAATTTCGAAAACTATAAAAGTTGTTGGGTTGACACGGCATAAAAAGGTTACTTACTTGACATTTTTCCACTGGATGACACAGATGAACAGTTACAATTCGGATGAATAATCCTTGAACATAATTTTTACACCGGCCCAAGTTAACACAACCGAGTTGAGGGACGAGTTTGAGTGAGTGGGAGTGTAGAGTTCCTCCGCGTAGTGCCGCTGCACGTCGCTATACGGAGACTGCATCCGCGAAAAGTAGTTCGGCCCAAAGTTCGTCGACTGTCATCATCAAAAACCATAATTCGCGATGGAATGATAGAACACAACAGTTCCCTGCTATATTTGATGACGCCTATGCTTGTTCAGTAATATGTTACACTTCCCCACCCAAATCCCGTAGTCTATGGAAGGACGTTCCATGAACGTTGCCAGAGAACGTATACTTAGTGCTGCGGCGGGAGCGCGTCAATGTTCGGACCAAGTTCGAACCGAACGTACGCAGAGAGAACGTTCTCCGAACATGTCTGTGCTACCAGGGTATGCGTCCAGAGCGCCGGGGACATCCTTTTTCTTGTGAACCCGAAGCACCAGTTCCAAGGCGGAACTAATACGCAGAGAGACAATGGTCGTGCAAAACGGCCCGTGGGCTCCGCGCCTCAGCGCCGCGTAGCGACTCAAGCGACGCCTCTCTTGTTTCGCAGGCATTGGCTACGGCCAGCTTATATCTTCCGGCATCGTCACCACCTACTACTGCTCGATCATGGCCATCACGGTTTACTACCTGGTCGCGTCCTTCTCGTCCGAACTGCCCTGGGCTACCTGCCCCCGCACGCCCAACGAGTATCCCTATCAGGCGTGGGCGCAGTGCTTTGACGCCAGCCCAAGGGCCAGCGTGGTAGCCGTCAATAGCAGCACATACCGCACTCTAGGCTTCGGCCCGGAGAGGAGCTCCAGTTCCGAGCTCTACTTCAAGTGAGTGAAGAGCGCCCGACGAAGGGCGGGTAGGCAGACCCGCAAGACACGCGTGTGGACCGGGTGGCCCATAGCTCGCCCCCCGGGCGCCCGACGAAGGACGGGTAGGCAGACCCGCGAGACACGCGTGTGGACCGGGTGGCCCAGCTCGCATCCTGGGCGCCCGACCAAGGACGGGTAGGCAGACCCGCAAGACACGCGTGTGGACTGGGTGGCCCATAGCTCGCCTCCCGGGCGCCCGACCAAGGACGGGTCGGCAGACCCGCGAGACACGCGTGTGGACCGGGTGGCCCAGCTCGCCTCCCGGGCGCCCGACCAAGGATGGGTAGGCAGACCCGC